CTCTCTCTCTCTCTCTCTCTCTCTCTCTCTCTCTCTCTCTCTCTCTCTCTCTCTCTCTCAGCGCAGCACTCTGGCTTCAGCGCTCTGCCCCTCACTATAGCGGACAAGTGCAGCAGCACTTCCACACTTCTTGCGAATGAGCAATCTGCCCGAATGGTAGGCTGGCCGGTCCTTTTGTAGTCTTGGATTGCACTTCAACTCGTGCCAGCCTCTGCTTCTTGGGGCCTGATTGGGTTCTGGTACCACATCCCCACGGCCTGTCTTCTTCTGAATGTCAAGGCCTGGAACCTTCCCGAATTTCCATTGGTCTGCTGCTGCTTGGGCCTTCAAGTCATGACTTTTCGATTTTGGCATATGGGTTTTGACTGTGGACTGTGACTCCTGCCTCTGGGACACGACTCTTGCCTGGGGTGACTCGTCAATATGACTTTTCATTATGAGACGTGACTTTTGCCTCTAAGACGTGACTGTTTGCTGGGTGCCTGTTAGACTGGACTGCTGAGGTACCCGACTGTGAGTTTTCTGAATTTGACGAATTCGGCCTCTCTTGACCAGGGCCTCTGACCCGGAGACCCGAATTTGGGGTCTGAATCGTGGAAGGCCTTTCACCAACCTCCTTTCAACAGCCAAAGATAGTCATAAGCCGATATATCTCGTCAATTCAGATCAGAGGAATTCCAATAAAAAAAAAGCATTCCGAAAAGAGGCCTGACCACGACAACAATGGTGCGCGATGGTGATGGGGGGGCATCCGAATCCGGATGCATGAGAGCTTCAATGCCCCAGCAAAACTGCCACGGTGAGCTACGCCTCACGTAGCAAATTTCTGTCGATGATCTTGACGGAGGTGGGCCAAATTTTTGAAACAAAGAACGGGCGTATCAAATCTCTTCTGTGGATCTCGACGGAGATTGGCCAAATTTGTGCCTCGCATAAGTAACCTGAGCTAGGAGGCCCCAGCAAAACCGCCACATTAACAGCACCTGCTGGCCCACAGGAACTCTGCAAGGCTGCCAGGTGTCTCGCCTGCACCCCGGCCTGGTGCCGAGGTAGCCTGGGAGCCTGATCAGGAAACCAGCCTGGACGCCTGGTCGCGCAGCCTACTGAGCAGGTCGGGAAGGGCTGGGTGGGTGCCTACTGACCAGGTCGCGAAAGGCCGGGTGCCTGGAAAACAGCCCAAACTTAAACCAGAAATCTTCTGTTTCATCGGAAGTCCAACTCACGCACGATTTCAAGATAGAGACAACATTCTTTACCGGAATCTCTGGTCTCTCACGTTCTCATGGACAAGTACTAGTTGTGCCATTGGATGATGTGTAGGGCTGCCTATGGTTTGGGTGATTTTTCTGTTGACTGTCTGGCTTTCTCGGCCTTTTGGCTAAGATCAAGTGTAGTATCTGTTCTGATCAGTTTAATATCTGATCCATGGTCCATTGGACCATTCAAAAAAAAAAAAAAAAGCGCTGCTTGTCGGCGTGTGTGGGGTACTTGGCCTTTTGATTCACATGTGGTAAATACAAAACTAGATATACATGATATACCATACAAGGCCATTCGATAATGATATCTGAAGGCCGTGCTATGATGAAACCATCGAGGTCGTTCGGTGATGCTATCTTAAATCGCCAGCACCTTTGTGCATGCTTGAAAATAAATAGCGCGGCGGATAACACGGAGGTGCGGGCGCGGGATGAAATTGCAAGGAAAATGAGCGAGAGCGACAGGCAGAAAAACAAAATTTACAAATTGCAATATCACGCTGTAGACCAGATAGTCTTGTACCAAGCAGAAAGCAAAATGCACCGAGATACCAGCCAAATGAGAGCAATACAATGAACTCAAATGGCAATGCAGACACTCTCTCACCACACCAACATAGTATCCAATGTCGCTCTATCTTGATTGGCGCACAGCGCCCAGCCTAGTCTACTCAGCCTACGCTGGCCTACTCTACTGTTATGCAACAGGGGTCACTTCGATCTGAAGGCCAATGTACGTGACGACGTCGCCCATGCAGACTGCCAGCATACACCAGGTACGTGCCTCCCCTCCTCTCACATCACCCCTCGTCTCCCCACAGGTGTGCATCCGCGACACCCGAAGACCATCCCACAACGGCATGCGCCCCAGCAGCCCGGCTATGGCCGCCGTGCGCCCACTGCGGCCACAGCGCCCCTCTCACCTCTTGTGCTCGCGTGTGCCCTCTGGCCAGCGCTAGTGCAGCACGCTCGGTCAACAAAGCAGCAGTGCCTGGTAACTGTCTGGCGCCCAACAATGCAGAAATGACAAAAATGGGGCCCCGTATCGAAATCAGGCCTGCCTCACTTAGGGCCGGCACATTGCTTGCTAGGGGCGCCTCAGGCATGTGGAGGCCGCAACCGAGCGGCCAATGTGAGGGCTCATTCCTCACAAAATGGGTGGCGATGGCAGCCAGGTGCGTCCGCGGCATTTCGTTTTTTGCGGCACGCAAGGAAAATTTGGCCCCGCGGCCGATATATGGGAAAGGTACTGGTGGTTTCCCTATACCCTTAAGAGATATAGCAGTCCCACCGACGTACGCTGCCGCGGGCCCACGAGAAACCGTTGGGGGGGGGGGGCCGTCGTCGGGTCTGCCAGGGACTGACAGGACCAGCGCGGGCGCAAAAACCAAACGGTGCACGTGCCAGGGACCGACAGGACCAGCGCGGGCGCAAAAACCAAATGCTGCACGCAAAAAGGCAAGCGAAGAGGACCGGCGCGGGCGCAAAAAGCAAACGCTGCAAAAAGACAAGCGAAGAGGACCGGCGGGGCCGCATCGGAAAAGGCCAGCGAGAGGAGAGGGAAGAGGCCCCCACGGGCCTGGGCGTCGGAAACTGTAGGAAAACAGGTGGAATATTTCGATGTTTTAGCGGAAGATTCATTCGATTTTGCTAATCGTGTGTGTGTGTGTGCAGGTAAGTAGTGTATATTTCGATGTTCTAGCGGAAGATTCATTCGATTTTGCTCATCTCGTGTGTGTGTGTGTGTGTG